AGATTCCAAGTTCAGTTAACTGAAATTGGAATTCCAATTTCAGACACCCTTTTTGTTATCTGAATTCCAACTTCAGACAACACTATTTTAACCAAATCACAATATGCCAATTTTTTTTTTTACAATTTCGTAAATACAGTTAATTTAAACATTTTATATTTCAGACTTTTAGCTTTTAGTTGAATTATATAATATAGTTTCGTGGCATTTATTAAATTTTTTAACATTAAATTCCAATATTTTTTTTTTCTTTGCTTTATGGGTTATTTTCTTTTCTTTTTTCTTTTTTTTTTTTAGGATTTTTGAGCACATACGGGCTGCTGCTTAATGTAGGTTTTCATTTTCTTTTTTTTCGATTTTTTTTTTTTTTATTTTCATTTTTTATATTTTAATTTTTTTTTTAATTTATTTTTTTTTTTTATTTTTATTCAATTTTTCGGCTAATAAATAAGTTCATTTTTATTTTTTTTCTTTTTAGTTTTATTTTTTATTTTATTTTATGCAGGTTTTCGACCGCATCGGGTGCTGCGTCATTTTCGTTTTCATATATTTTAGGTTTTTTTTTAACTTCAGACCGAAGTGATCCAACCTGAAAAAAAAAATAATCATTCTAATAGAATAAAATGTTAAAAACATTCACTTTTTTTTCTTTATAATTCTTTTTAAAACAGCAGAACGTAAATAGAAAAGGAACTCCTTCCTTTATGATTACCTGTATAATTATTCTATTTTAATGCTGAGAGACAAATTTTAAAATAAAATTACTTAAATATTTCTATAAAGAAAAGGAATGTTAATTTTTTTTTATTATAATAGAGTAGTAAAAAAAAAAAATAAATAAAAGAAACAGTTAAAAATCATAAAAATTTTATTAATTAAAATAAATTGCTTATGTACTTTACATATAGATAATAGATCCTTCATATTACTTTAATTTTAATTTATAAATACTTAATCTGTATAAAATTCAGATTTTTATCTGAAGTTCAATTTCAGATATCTCAATTTCTGATGACCTCGTGTCTGAAATTCAGATTCTATCTGGAGTTTAATTTCAGAAGAAAGATTTTATCTATTAGTGATTTAGGATTATGTAAACCTGTAAATTATTATCAAACATTTAAAAAAAATGAAATTTATGGTGTTTTACCATTTGTAGCTCCTGAAGTTTTAAGAGGTCAACCTTATACTTTTGCTAGCGATATATATAGTTTTTCTATGATTATGTGGGAATTAATATCAGGAGTTACTCCATTTAATTATGAAGCTCATGATTTTCAACTTAGTTTAGATATTTGTAAAGGTAAACGTCCTAAAATTATTAAAAATACTCCTAAATATTACATAAATTTAATGGAAAAATGTTGGGATAATTATTCATTAAAAAGGCCAACTGCATTAGAAATTAAAGAAATTATTAATACTTGGATTCAGAATATTCGATTTAAAATTTTTGATACAGAATTAAAAGATGATATTATAGATTTTTATAAAGCAGATAAAATATTAAAACAAAATCAAGATAATAATTTAAATGATATAAAAGATCATCCACAAGCATATCATACAAGCCGTTTACTTAATTTTACAGAAAAATTAAATAAAGCTTTAACTCAAAATATAGAAAATAGTCAAAATATTGGTAATTATTAATAAATTTATAAATGTAAAAATTTAACCTTAACTAAATATATATTTTAATTTAATAGAAACTTTAAATATTACAGAAGATGATTTAAGTAAGTACTTTAAATTAAATATTTATACAAGTAAACTCTTATTTATTAAATTTTATTTTTCAAACAGATGAAGATTAAATCTATTTAAATAATTATTTAATCTTTAGTTAATAATGCTGAAATAATAGTTATCATTTTAGTTTTATAAAAATACTTTGTTTAGCGAACATTGCCATATAGAGTAGTTATTATAACAAAAAAGCAATTTGTAATCACTTAAACATTTTTATATAAATTATATTTTATTTTATTTTACAAAATATTCGTTTAGTAAATATTTTAAAAATATATAAATTAGCAAACTCTTGTAACTTGTGTTAACTAGAGAATTTTTGACACGAACACGAATTATAGTTTTTACCTCTCAAGTTAAAATTTATAATTCGACTCGATTTATATAGATTTGAGTAATTCGAGTTAGTCTAAGAATATTAAATAGTTTTATACTGTAACAGCTAAAATTGCATAGAACATGATACTCTATATGAATATGCTGCGTTAGTTTATCATATGTTGCGGTATGCTACGCATTCTGCCATGACCGATTATTTGCTTAAGTATTATGACCTTCTAGTATGTAATTATATAAATTGAGTTTTAATCCATACCTTATATGTAAAACGTGATCAAAAATCATGATCTGAAGTATTAAAAATAATAGTGTTGAGGAATCTCGAGTTAACGCAACTCATAAAAATCTAACTCAGATTTATTCGAGTCAGATTGTGTTAACTCGTTTTGTTTTTGTGTGTTTTAAAAAATTCTATAGAAAAATATTGAAAAATATTGTACTTATGAGCATGCATTTTTAGCAAACATTTATTTGATGGGATATCGATATTTTTACTACAAAACTGTTAATAAAATATGACCACGATAGGAATACTTAGAATATTAATTGATTTAAAAAGGAAAATAAAATTAGACTAAATTCCGAATACTCGTTCCTCTAGCATTGTAAAAAAATTTTGGTTAGATTTAAGTATATTATTCTACGGTTAAACACAATTTAAATAGTTGTTATTATGACATCTTACCTAAATATTTGCTAGAATTGAATAAACTTTATTTTTTTAGTGTCTCAGGGTTGATATCAAATTCACTAAATGAAAGAACAAAATTCCAAACTATCAATATTAATTAGAATTTATAACAAATCTTCGTAAGAAATTTAAGCGATTAAATGAATTTTACTATTTGAACAGAAAAACGTTCGCATCATTTTCTTTTAGCATTTATCGTTACTTTGACAAATAATTATAGTTTGTTTGATATGAAGTTATTGAATTTTTATTTGTGTCCTATATTTGACTTTTTCTGTAGATATTTAGGTTCCAGAAGCAAATTACGACGTGAGTCAAAGTTTGAGTTTGGTCATAAATGTCGACATCCTGCCGGAATGAATATTTAACACATGTGAAATCAGATTTCTTATTTATAATATTATTTAAAATCTTTAGGGGATTCAAAAGATTTATCATTTTGAATTAAACTACTAAATATTGAAAGAAAATTGTGGCAAATACTAAAAGAAGTGGTAATAATTATGGTATAATTCATCTTTATTATCCAATATCACAGATAATACGTTCAATAGATGTCGGGATCAAAAATAATTAATCAGATTTTAGTTTATATGTTTATAAGTACACTTCTACCTTAACATCCTACACTTGAAGACATAATCCACCGGAATATTTTTTATTTATTGCAAGCTTGATACCATTTCTATAAATTGTGTGTATTCGTAAATATCACAGATAATAAAATCAACATATACAAAAGAACGAATTTAATTTTAAAAAATTTCTGTATAATAGCTGTACGATTTCAGCAAAATTGTACGAAACTTGTATGATATTTTTCATAAGGCTTGAATAATATATTATCACTTTCAAGTTGTTATTCCCAAATTGTCCAGTTTGTTTCATAATATAATTAAAAAAAACAAAAAATATATTTATAATTCAACGAAATTCATAAATAATCCAATATACATCTTCTTACTCTTTTTAATGCATTGCATTGGTTCACATTTTCTAATGCATTATTTAACGCCTTCTTCGAACATATCTAGTAAGAATATTAGAAAGCTGTCCTTATTAAGCTCACATTCTTTCATTAAATTGATTAACTGCATAGATATCCAAGCCTCTTTAAGTTCTAATTTCCATATTAAGTAAGTTTTATTTAAATGATAAGTTTGAATAATGACGAATTATAAATGGGTGCGTACACAATTGGATTGGATACAAATGGATTGAGACCATCAACTGGATCTATTTTGATTATTAAATTTCCCATCCAAGGAATGACCCACGATCAACTACACCAATTACCACTCATACCACCAACTATTACTTTATCATGACGAAACTTTTAACGTCAAATATATTTAGAATTTAATCTATTATTGTTAATTCTTATAAATAATTCTAACTTTTTATGAATAATAAAAACTTCTCAAAAACAATTCATCAAAGTTCTTTTATTAAATTTTATGAAATAGAAAGTAACCAAATTATTTTCTAAATAATATATTTGATATTTCTATTTGATATTTACGGTATGTAATTAATGATACCCCATTTAGGGTGATTCAACATTTATAATTCCACTTTTTGTAATGGTTAATAATCAAATGTTGTAATTTAAAATAAAATCAAAATATTCCAATATTACGAGGCATTTTTAATAACTTTTTATATAAATAATGTTTTAATTTACTTGTCTTCTAGAAATGCCATTAAATCACCATTCAAATTTAGTAATATTATCGCGTTTTTTTTTAAATTTTTATCGAGATGATTATTAATTGAATTCTTAGTTTATAACCGGTCATGGCCGCGTATCAAATATAAATGACAAATGTAAAAATTGGTCTTCATCAATAATTATTAACTAAAGAAAAAACAAAAAAAATTCAACGAAACGAACATTACCGAACTTATCTTACCTGAAAAATAATAGTCTCTTATACATATTTCATTAATTTTCCATAATAGAGCCAAAAGATAAAAGATTAAAAGCAAAGATTCAAGCGGAGTTTTGTTTATAAATTATAAGAGCCCAGTCAAGATTTTTTTTAAAAAAAAATCAGCTGTTAAGATTCCTTTTCTTATCAAAAAAAAAAAAAAAAACTTTAAAAGATACATTCTTTTAGATTCTCTACTTTTTTCAATACTGTAACTGGTAGCAAACGTGATATTTCTGAACATAAGTGCATGAAGTAAAATTTTCTCGAATTTGTTCGTGAAAAAGTAATTGATTGCATTTTCTAATTTTCAACTTCAAAAGTGAATGAACCACTTCACAATATGAGTCCCATAATTATACGCCTACCAAAAATGCCATCTACGAAACACAGAAAGATGTTTATTCTGATCCAAAGAGGTTGAAGCCTTTGTAAAAATGCAATTATTGTTTCCAGCATTTTATCAGTTGAGAATTTTGTAGTTTTTTTTTTTTTTTTTTTTAAAAAAAAAAAAATATATATATATATCTAGAAATTTTTAATGTAAATGGCGCAGTAAATTATAACGGCTACTCAATTTTGTTTTACGTACGAATCTTTCGGGCTAGTTATTTTTCATTTTTATTATTTCCGCACTTATTAGGAAATCATCCGTAAAAACACAATGAATATAAAAATGTTCTAGTGACATTCTTGTTGGAATTCTGTAAATCCTTTTTTTTACTTTTTCATTTCGTTCTATTCAAGAATTTTCAACTGGTCTTTCTTTATCATAATCCATTTCTGTAATTTTTATGCATGATATAAATAGTACTCTAAGACCGTGAAATTAATGCGTTTTAGTGATAAAATATAAATCTAAATAAAGAAAAAAAAAAAAGTTAATGTATCACGAATGCGATAAATGCAATCGATTGGAAGTGCCTTCCATGGAAAATAAGAAATGTGATGAATGTTATGAATGGAAAATTCCTTCTGAAGAAAATCAACAGATTTGTCAACAATGTAAAAAGATATACAATAGATGTGCCAAATGTCGCAAACAGAGAAAACATTCTGAAAGTAATCGACATATTTGCCAGCGTTGTATTGTAAAATGTGATGAATGTGATTATTGGGAAATTCCTTCGAAAGAAAAGCCACAGGTTTGTAAACTTTGTATTTGGAAATATAAATAATGTGAGAAATGTGATGAATGGAGAATACCTTCTAAAGAAAATCCGCATGTTTGCAAAATTTGTATTTGGAAGTATGAAAAATGCAATAAATGTGATGAATTGAATATTCCTTTTATAGAAAATCCACAAATTTGTAAACATTGTATTGGGAAGAATGAAAAATGCAAAGAATGTAAAGATTGGAAAATACCTTTTAAAGAAAATAAACAAATGTGTGAGAAATTATTAAAGTATATATATGATGTTTTGAATGTGATGAATGGGAAGTTCCTTCTAAAAGAAATCCACAGATTTGTAGACTTTGTATTTTGAAATGTGAGAAATGCAAAAAAAGTGAACCTTCTAAAAGGATTTACAAATTTTTCAACATTATATTTTGAAGTATGAAGAATGTATAAAGCATAAAGAATGGAGAATATCTACTGAAAAAGATCAACAAAAGTGTCATTAATGTATTAAAGTGTATACACAATGTAATGAATGTGATGAATGGAAAATTCCTTCTGAAGAAAATCAGCAAATATATCAACAATGTAAAAAATATACAATATATATACTGAATGTTATGAACAGAGAAAATATTCTAAAGAAAATCAACATATTTGTCAACAATTGTATTATAAAATTTGATGAGAAAAAAACAATTATTGGGGGGTAAGAAATGTTTTTAACTTTTCATAATGTGATGAATAGGAAATAATTTCTGAAGAAACTCAGCAAACGTGTCAAAAATGTAGAATAATATATAATAGATATGCTGAATGTCATAAACAGAGAAAAAATTCAAAAGAAAATCAACAGATTTGTCAATAATATATTATAAAATGTGATGAATGTGATGAATGGGAAATCCCTTCTAAAGAAAATCCAAAGATTTGCAAACTTTGTATAAAATATGTAAAATGCAATAATAGTTATGAATGGAAAATGCCTTCTAAAAAAAATAAACAAACTTGTAAGGAATATATTAAACTGTATAAGAAATGTAATGTATGTTTTGAATGGAAAATTATTTGTCAATATTGTCAAATATTTAAAGATTATCATAATTGAAGTAAATTTGAATATGATCAACAAATTTGCAAAATTTATAAGAAATGTGATAAGTGTCATAAATGGAAGAAACCTTCTATAGAAAAATTACAGATTTATTAGGAATGTATTTTGATGTATAGTAAATATGATGAATGTAATGAATGGAGAAAACCTTCTGAAAAAAATTTAATGATTTGTTATCAATGTATTATACTTTATAATAAATGTAATGAATATTATAAATGGGAAAAACCTTATGCGAAATATTTACAAATTTGTCAAGATTGTATTAAAGTATATAAGAAATGTAATAAATATGATAAATGAAGTAATTATCTAAAAAAGATTTATGGATTTGTAAAGTCTGTAATAATATATATAATTCAAGTGAAAATTAAATTATTGATATTTTATTAGAGAAATACAAATTAATTGTAAAAATCAAATTGTAGAATTGGAATTTATTTCTTATAATCAATTAGAAAATGTTAAGTTTATTGCTGAAGAAGGATTCAGCAAAATTTATAAAGCCAATTGGATTGAGAATCCAATTGAACATGATAAACTACATTTTAAATGGAAAGGTTCTATAACTATTGCTCTCAAAAAACTCAATAATACTAAAAATATATCTTTTAAGAAGTTAAATGAGATAATATTTTATTTTTATTAATAATAATATAATACGTTAATCATTTATTTTAATTTTTTTTATAATTTCAGCTAAAAGTTTATTTTAATTTGAATTTAAACTGTGGATTATATAGTTCCTTTTATATAAATAAATATTATGAAATTATTCTTTATCCTGTTATGAGAAATTTAATGTATATTATGAATTATTATGAATTAGGTGATTTATATCATTAAATCGCAAAATCTTTTAAATATTAATTGGATTAAAAAGTTAGAAAAATTGAATAATATTATAGGAAGACTTTATCATGTTTATAATCAAAATTTTATTTATCGAGATTTACATAGTGATAATATACTTTGCAGTAATTCTACTAGTAAACATCCTGTGGTAATAAGTGATTTAGGAATAAGTAAGTTTTCAACTGAATTAACAGATAAAGATAATATTTATGAAATAATTTCTTATATTACTCCTGAGATTTTTCTAGGACAAAGTTATACTATAGGAATAGATATTTATAGCTTTAGTATGATTATGTGGAAGTTAATAACAGGTAGAAAGCCATTTTAGGATAAAGTCATAATACAGGACTTATTATTAAAATATGTGATAGTTTATGTCCTTCAATTATTACAGATACACCTGAGGGTTATATTAGTTTAATGCAAAGTTATTGGCATTCTGACTCAAACAAAAGGCCAACAGCTGCTGCTTTAAAGTAAATTTAAATATTATTAAAGATATTGAATTGGATAATGTAATAAACTATAATAAAGCAACAAAAATCATAAGATCATTATAGATTAGACCTATTACAACCAATAATCAGAAGGCAATTTATAAGAGTAAATCACTAGGAGAAATGATAAAATCTGTGATGTTTACACGAAATTTAGTCAATCTATTAATTCAGAATTGGGTAATTATAATCAAATTGATATACAATCTTTTTGTTGAATTCAATAATTAAATGTTGTATTAAATTCTAGATTTATTTGATTATTATCATAAAAATCATCAATTTTCTAATGGTAATTTGTATTTAACTAATATTTATTTTAAATTACTAGTATTAATATATTTTTTTTTAAAAAAAAAATAAAAAGGCAAAGATAGAGTTCCGAAATGACTCGCATAAACTCGCATAAACTCGCATATTTGACTCGCATAATTGTGAATAATTGTAAATTTTAGTTACACATAATAAATAAGTACTTTAAATTAAATGTATGTAGGATAATTTTGACTCGAAACTCGATTTAACTCGACTCATTAGGAACACTAGGCAAAGAAACTTAGATGAAGATAACAAAAGTGTTAAAAGTAGTAAATTATTTATAGATATAAATAGTGGTAAATATTTTGTACATTAAAAATTAAATTAAATATAAATTTAATAACACTAATATTATGTTATATTGAAACAAATTTAATTAGATTAAATATCAAAGGAACTAAAACTGGATATCAATGAATGTGGTAAGTAGGTATGATATTCTTTATATGTAAGATTTTTTCTTATAAACTAAATGTTCTATATATATTTTTAGGATATATTACCAAGGAAATTGATTTTGACGTCAATACACTTTGAATATTTTTTCAGAAAATTGCAAATGTTAGAATTATTCTTTATAATAACATACACGTGATATTACTATATAAAAAGACAATTATAACATAATAAAAATTTCTTACGTAGTAAGGTATCTACTTATATTAATAAGCATTTCCAACATTTTTAATCGTAGACTCATTACACGATGGAATTTTACATCAGCTTTAAGAAAAAGTAAACTAATATTTTATCTGAAATGATCAAACTTAAATTAAATCAATTGGTTTTCTTGTATCCAAGTTTTTAAAGGAAAGGATTGCTTTTCACATTTTCCATCCTTGAGAATTTTACAATTATGATTACCGGATCTTTAGTAAATCAGTTAAATTTATGCTGTATTAGTTATAATTACACATCTGTATATGATTCAAATACTTTGACCGTAGAGTAATTTTGTTTGACCATGACATTAAAATATATATGTTTATTTAAAAACATACATTTATAAATATTATCGTTATTATTAAGATAAAAGAACTGTATTAAATGTATTTGTTTTAAAGAATGAGTTCAATTTGTATGAAAAATTGACTCTCATTCATTGATTTCGAATTCTTTTGTGCAGAATGTTTGCAATTCTATAAATATATAAATTATAAAAATAAATAAGTTAATTTCTTGAACCAGTTTCTTGTGCTTTATTAAATAAATGGTCTTTTATAATATACTGCTTGTATCAGAACGATTCACATTTCTTAGTTTGCTTTGATTCACGTAAAATCACAACCATTATATATTAAAACTTGATGCTAATAATTTGTAAAGTTCGTCTTCTCTAAGTAATAAAAGATTGCATTTATAAACAAAATCCAATATAACAATCCTTCTGGTGTAAATTTATCAAAACGAGAGTGAGCTAAAATTCATTAGGATCAGAAGCTCTTCTTTAACCTAATCCCTGTCTTGCAAGTTTTTTAAAATTTTCAGTAAAATTACATTGCTTGATCTAATTTACAAAATTTCAAACAAATGTTGTGCATTTGCAATTTCTTCAATTTTTTCATTTAAATTTAAATCGTTCTAACTGTATAACTAAATTATTAGTTGATTTATTAGTTGAAATACAACAGCTTAAATTTATAATTTCTTGTATATCATTAGATTCATATATTTAAAAAATTGGTAGTTTTATTTTTAATATAAAAACGCTTTAAAAGTTTGTATTTGAAAGATTTACCTTATATAAGTTATTTTGTTTGGCTTTTTGCAATAAATAATAAAGGCACCTGTCAGGCGGTCTTACTTTGGATCGTTTAGGTATCGTTAAATTATTTTCTTTTTTTTAGGTGCTAGAATCGAGTTTTTTTTTTTTTTGTTTTTTCTTTTGCTTTCACTTACAAGTATCTTTTGTTTATTATTATTTTCGATTAAGTTTCATATTTTTTTACTTTTTGGTTCGATCGGTTCGATCTAATATTTCATTTTTTCGTAGGCCAACCAATTTTGTAATATAATGAAAAATTTAGCTAGACTGACCTGAAGAATAATTAAAAATTAACCAAACTAAGTGATAAAATTTTTTTTTTATTGCTTCCCATTATTTATTTAATGTTAATTTTATACTTCAAATCAAACAATCAAAAGAAACTATTATGTTATATACAGAATAAACCTAATATTAAAAAGTAGAACTGCCGTATTACTGGAATTATATTATCTTACTGTTTGAACCCGAAAGGCCCGAGAGACTAAAAAAATATTTAATAAATAAATTACATTCAATGATCATTAATGATCATTAATTTTCAGTATAAAAATGATTTACCTTACCTAATTGACGGCTAAATTTAAAGAAAATTTATTTGATCAACTAATGCAGTACGAAGGCAAAAAAAAAAAAAAACTTTGGGAAATAAAAAGGAAAAATTAATTTAGCTTCGACCACACTTTAAAGTTTCTATATTAAAAGAAGGTAAAACTATATTTATAATTTTATTCTCGACCTAAATTAGCAGCAAAGTTTCGAATACAAAATTTTGACTTTTGGCTTGAACCGCATAGGCAAAATTTTTTTCATTAAATTATTCCCCCTTTTTTATGTAATTTCTTTAGGTTACTATCAGCTGATTTTTATTTTGATCCTACAAACCATTATACTAGACCGGTTTGTTTTGGGTGCCAAAATTAAAAGCTACAATCGTCACCAACTATTTTTGATCCATTTGATGTTGTTCTAGGATACACAATGATGCTGCGTTTGCTGAACAACTTGTTTCTCTATAATATGTATAATTGTTTTCTTTTTTTTTAAAAAAAAAAGAAATAATAAATTCATTTGATCTAATACTTAGCGTAGTTATCTGATATATAATAATTAAGTTGCAAGTTTATTGACGAATAATGTTTAAAAAAGTGAATATTTATTAAATGTCATGACACAAACAACAAGCTAATCGAATAAAAAAAAAATCGAAAAATCATATTACTGATTTACCATATCTCATGACTTGATTAAATGATTAAACGAAAAAAAATTTTTTTTGGGAAGCAGCAAGAACTCGAACCCAAGGCATGCACTACACTGAATTGTTACGGTTAGTAATTTCAAATATTTAAACTGACTCGAACGAGCACATGGTTTTTATATGTATTACTATTAAATAATAATTGATTCGCGGGCTATTTTTTTTTAATCAATCATAAATCCGTGGATATGATATTTCTTATTCAATATTTCTTTTTTTCATTTTAATTTAGTAGTTGCAGCAACACACTTTAACAGGTTTATTAAGGTTTAGAAAACAGATTACGAAGCATTACATCAAATTCTTCATCTGGAATCAAAACATAAATACTTTTATTTAAATTAGTTAAGTTTGAGGAATTGATTAATTATATCCTTTTTATACAGTACGTCCCCTCATTTTTACTATAATTACATCTTCCGTGCAGCATCTAGTAGACTTTGATGTTATTTTTTCATTATTTTATATATCGATTCACCAAGTGCAAACAAAAAAAAATATTCAAAAATTCTGGTGAAGAAGTAACCACTTTTTGCAATTCCTAAATACGATCTAAATTTTGAACTTTAGGACGTGGATTGAGTGGATCCTTGCAAATGAAATCAAGCGTCATTTAAAGGAAGACAAGAGAGATTAGGAATTGACAGCAAAAGCTTGTATAAGAAATGAAAGGAGGTAATCATCATCATCAACCAGTCCAGTTATGATTATCTTGATAGTTACAATATTACCGTAGGATCTGAAATGGAGAATTTAAAAGCCTCAAATCCAATACGCAACGTAAATATGAAAAGCAAGTAATTTGAAAATTTTATTGAATGAACTAATAAAAGAATTGCTTTTGATGTAAAAGTGATTTTTTTAAGACAGTTTGGAAATTAGACGAATAGAATCGAAAACATCAAAGGACGTGACAACATCATGTGAGGAAGGTTACTTGAGGTTTATTATTGACAATAATTTATTATTAGAGGAGGGTGGATTTAGTAAAGTTTACCTTGCTTCAGGATTGTTTTGGTACCAAGAAAGGTTGATGAATGAAATGGAAACACTTCATGAGACTTTATCCGAAATTGGCTTCTGAAGAGGCTCCTTGTTTCGTTATAGAATCTGATGTACAAATTTTACGAGACAATACACAAAAAATTATGTATAATATCAAAAAATCGGAAGTCGTTAAAATATTTGGGTTAAGGCATAAGAAGACACTATCTCTAACGATTCAAAATTATGATGTGATAGACTTGAAATTGAGTCTTTTTTTTTTTTATTCTAATATATACATCAATTTCTTAATTAATATTTGAAAGAATTCAAAGAGGATAAGAGTACAACAGGATCTCAATATGTAGTTCTTATACAACTATAAGAATTTAGTTATATAAACTTTAATAAAACTACTATACCAACAACTTGTCAAGAGGTCCAAGGCCAATCCGAAGACCAACAGGTACCCGGAAAGGCCAACAGGAACCTCGATTTGTAATATGAAAAAGATACACAGATTGTATGATCAATCAGCATTTAATTTTATGTATTTATATATATTTTTATTTTATTTTACAGAATGGTTATTTATACTGGAATCATGTAAATAACAATTAACTGTTAGAATTGATTATGACACCATTTGTAATTGAAGGAACTTTTCGTACTAATGATGAGAATAATTAAGGGAAACTAATAAGAAATTCGTGACCCTAGGATTATATATAAAAATCCTTTAGTAAGTAAGTAATAGTTGTATATATTTTATTACATAGTTTTTCTTAGATAATATATTCAATTTTTTATTTTTTGAGTAGAGATGAGTATCTAAATTCTTAATTAAAAAAAAGACACGAATAAATAGTTTAAATTTTTCTCATCTAAATTATTATTCCTTCATTGTAATTAATTATAGGAAAACTAATTGTAATTGTTTAAATATGTAATATGCTTAAATAAATAATACAATTATCATCTTTTTGTGCTATATAAATACGTAGTGACTTGGAAGATAATCATTATTAAATGACGGCGCAGCAAATTCATATAAATATTTATAAATCTAGAATTCGTAGAAATTTAAGATGTAAAAAAACAAAAAGGTTGCTTAGCGCACAAAGAGGTTAAAAGAAATTTTACGAAAATTTCAAAATAATAATTATTTTTTATTTTTTATCATTTTGTCAAAATCATAATGAAATTTATGCTAATATAGTATAGAATTCAGTAAGGTTCCTATAATCTTCAACAAATAATTAATTTTTTCTCTAAAATATATTTTATTTTAATTTGAATGGTTGTTGGAAATTCATATACTTTCGCGACCGAAAAACTTTTAAATATTGAACGATGAATAACGTAAGGATTCTTTTGATTGATAAATATTTTACAATTCCGGAAGCATTCATGACGATAAATGAATAGATTAGTGAATCCATTCGATTGGTCGGCTTTCTTTGCCGAATTTTTATTCAAAATATAACGTTTATCTAGATAATAGTTTCAATCGCTCTATTAATATCACTGAAAAACTAACGTTTCTGCTGAAAATTCTGTTTTAAAATCATCCCTTAGGATTTCGACTGAACCGTCATCTTCAGCTTTTGACATTATATTTTAATGCTAAACATAATACGGCAATGAATGCATTTTCTACATTTTCTCGGATATTTGAGGTATTGGAAGGTAAATTCTTATTTCATAAGCGGTTAAGTTGTTAACGAAGTAAATTTTAAGTACATAAGTTTCTTAATCATAGATAAGTCGATTGAATTGAATCAGTAATGAATTCAATGAAATATCAAAATTTAAAAGAAATCGTAATCAATTTCATACGAGGATTAAAGTCGCAGCAAGTTTCCTGTTCGGACTTATAACCATATAATTGGTCTATAAATTTCGATTCCCGGCTTGATCTTACATGAATCATTTAAACTATCATATTTATATCTATTTATCATCCATTTTTCATAAAAAATAATTATATATACTAAGGTAATTTTTTTATTTTATATTTTCTTTCGTGAATTTAATTACGAGTTCATATGTACACATCTCCAAAATAAAGTATGTTGATAATTTCAATTTGTCGAAGTAAGATTTTATCTATTGTATTTACATTTTAAGTCTAATGGCGTTTTTCACATTAAATTTTGAGAACCTCTATTAATGAATTGAATAAAGAATTTTCTTTTGTCAGAATTTATCTTGTTCAACCCCGAAAGTTCACACCCCTTTAATAAATTTTCACCATTTGACAATCAATCAATATCCAAATTAGAAAACCTCAAAAATTTTTTTCCAATGCTATAGATCACATTTACTTTACGGTCAGCCGTATCATCTTCTTTTCATATTACCACATTTCACCTATTAAGCCTTCAGGACCGTTGGAGAGACACAGTATATCCTCATATTTCTAGACGAAGTCGATTAACATTCGAACTGTTCTGGAAACACGTTGTCGACATCGAAGATGATATTGAGTCAATTGCATTCTTCACTTTGTATCTCTATATATTTTATCACGGAATTTGCAATTTGTTCTTCAATCAATTCATAAGGTCTGTTAAATGTTTGAGACATGTTCCAATGTTTAATAAGAATATGGATAATTTCATCCATTGATTAAAATAATCAAGAATTGTTGTCTCTTTGTTTCCAAACGATGTACGTTTTACGAAACAAAGCAAAATTTCTAATGAAAATAGAAGTTCATCATAAGATAATGAATTATTATTATGATATTTACTGTATATAGCACTAGTTGGTACCACGCCTATAATCAAAAAAAATCTTATCAGATGGAATTTTCTGTTGATGAATTAAAGGTTTGATATCCCAAAAAAATACTTGTATGTTCTTTGAATAATACCATGTGATATGTGAAAGGTTCCATGTATGCCTGAGAGTTGTTCAAAACTAATCTACGAACTAGCTCCATTTCGACGTTTTGTAAATAATCATGACCTGTTCAAACTTATTACGTTCACTATTTTGGAGAATACCATCATCCAATGTATAATATATAAAATTGTTTTGTTTATTTGATCAATTCTAAGAGATTGAAGATAGTAACGAGTAGGACTTTCTGCAGAAATAGCGTTATCTGTATTTGAATTCGTTGATGAAACAGGATATTCCTGAATAAAATAAGACTCTTCCAAGAATTTAAGTGTGCTCTGGTAGAACTTATAGGAACCTTTATTACTTTTTGCATGAATTATTTGCAATCTAATCGGATATTCCAAAATAGCGCAAAGATGTACGCCTAAACCCCATATAAAGTTGTGGCTAAGCATTCGGTATAAATAGCTTTCTTTCTTCCGGTGATATTCTTATCATATCTCCAATAATGTTATAAACTATATTATTTAAATTTGATATTTTTACAATTAAATATACTGTGATAGTAATAAATTATACAAAAAAAGAAAAATCATAAATCACCTTCATCATTTATTTCCTTTGTCCATGAATGTTTCCTTTCAAAATACTGAGCACAAGTCTTTTCAATAATTTGTTTTTGCCTTATTGCAGAAGCATCCTGAAAAACTTTATCATTACCATAAAATTTATTCTGCATAATGCATTCTAATAATACTATTCCTAAGGAGAAATAGTCATGGAATTTGGTTTGTTTGCCATATTTATTTATTATCTCTGGAGAAACTATATATTGAATTAAATTAATACCATTTTTAGAATATAATTAATGATTCAAATAAAATCTTGCATACAATAAGCTTTCGTTCCACCAGGTCTCCCTGGCATAATTTTTTCGGCCTCCTTGCAAAGTCCAAAGTCACATAGGATTATATTAAAGGGAGTTACCGATAAATCTACTAGAATATTGGCTGGTTTTAAATCCCTATATACAAGTCCTTTTTCATGAAATTCCTACGAAATAAAAGGGATTTAGTCTATTATAAACTTCAAATGTAAAATTTAAATGGTTATTACATTTAATGTGACACTCATATTCTTTGCAAGGGAAACTAATTCCTCCTTGGTAAACCTGTGTTCACTTTTAATAAGATCATATAAAGTTCCATCTTTGATCCTAAAATCAAGCAGTTATTAAGTAATAACAAAAAATATAATATAAATAGTAATAAGATTAACTACCATTCCATTATTAAAAAGCTTTTTTGGGTGTATTCGTAATTAAAACCGCCAAAAATTTGTAAGACATTTGGCTAAAAATGTAGAATTGTATTAATGAACTGATAAAATTGTGAATGATTAATAAGAAAAAGCAAATACAATTTCTTTTATTATTTTAAACATATAATACTCCCGAGCAAGGGAATATTTCCAAGAACACTTCAAAGCACAAATTTCATTGTTTTCTTGGTTTCGAACTTTAAAAACTGAGCCAAACCCGCCCCTATTAATTAAATAATTAATAAAAATCAATAAAATATTTAAAAACATCGATAAAATACTTATAAAAGAATACTTACTGCCCTAATTGACGAATTATCGCGTACTTATGAACTGCACATTGTAAATTAATATCTAAACAAATAAATTTATTTATGTTAATTACTGGAATTAAAATATTCAATTGTTGTATACGTGATAAAATTTACCTTTGTTTGTTATTTCTTCTTCATCCTGACCTTTAATAGTGATTTCATCATCTTTGTCATATAACTATAATATCATTATTTTAGAGGAATGTAAATGATCATACAAAATTGACTTTATATTTACCAAAACGCTTCCACAGTGACATTCCCAAAGAAGAAATTTAACTAAATTATTAAATTTAGAATAACCATTATTATTAATCATGCAGGAATGTATTTATTAAAGAATTCACATGTAAAAATTGGTAAGATGTAATTTAATGATAATACACTCACATTTTGCAGTAAATTCATTAAGGTGTATTAGGAATAGGCAGCCTTCAACAATGACGGTATTATCACCAGCATTATTTAAAATTAAATCTTCTCCTTTCGGATTGATGTAAGTTACGTTTCCACTGTTATAGTTATAGTAAATATTAAGTATAACGCATTTAAAATAGTTATAATAACCTTAAATACAACCATATTTTTGTGATCTTCATTCCGTGTTCGTTCTAAATCAGAGGGGAAAATTCAAATCTATTGTTACGATGTATACTTAGTAAAATTAATGGATTAAAGAATGCTTAAGCAAACTCACCTTAGATAACATGCAATGAAGTTCAAAATCGCTTGGCATATGTTGGTACTAAGGACGTGTAAAATAAATAAGTTTTATATCAACTTGTTTGATTTTTTTTTAGAATACATACACCATTGCGGGTTTCGTTCTTTCCGAATGTTTGATATTCCGCCTCGAGATAAATAGAACCGATTCGATCACTTGTTTCTTCGTTAATAGGAATGAGCATACCCCAATATTTGTCACGAATATTCAGCTTGCAGCCGTCTGAAGTAACGTACTTTCTAATTTTCGAAGTATTAGAAGCTAAGTCAGAAGAAACTTGTTTTCTTTTGTTGTTTTGCATGATAAAGAGAAAATTTTTACATAAAAATTATTTAGAAAATGATTTGAGAATAAAAGTTTATTTAATTTGTTATCACGTGATTCACCAAATCGATCATCAAATTATTTGACTAAAATTGACATTACATTTCAAAAATTAAATGCAACAAAAATCAAAATTTTGTTAAAAAATTCCCATGTAGCCGGTGTTAGTTGCAAAGTTGTACTGCACCTCAGGTGATATAACACTATGGCGATTGTCAAACTTGTAACGTTATAATTTTCATTATTAATTTATTTTATTTGAATTATTTATCTTTAGAAAGGTATAGCTTAATATTATTTTGGAATTTTTATTAGTCAAGAGCATTAGCATAGAACTATATATGTTTAACAAAGGTGATCTAATATGCGCTATCCACCTGTTTGATAATTGAGTTGATGCTGATTGGTCTTTGCAATTGCACAAAAATATAGATTTAAAGTATGAATTATTTTAGTTAGGATCATTCAAACTTAACAACAGTTCCTATTCTCTAGTAAATAGACATGTAAGTTAACCGTAAGTTGATAGAGTTTTCTTAAATAGTATTCTAAATTAATCGTAAGACTAATCTAATTTTAACAAAAATACTATTTTATAGTTTTAACCTTCTTCTTGTCTTTATATAAGAATCTATTTATGCTAATAACTACACAAGTTGTTAATTATTTATTTCTCTTAAAAAGAACCTTTAAGATAATTGAAATATTAAAATATTTGGTTTATTAGCTTAATTTTAGTACAATTTCAGATCTAGTATTAGGATACTTAAATATTTTTAAATATTTTAAATAATATTGAAAAGCTTAATTGATCAATCCACTAAAAAAGATTTATTTTAAATAAAACTTATAGTATTCTAATATTATCAAAATAGCAATTAATCTAATTATACTTCTTTCAATTATCATTTATATAAACTTGTAATTACATAGAATTATAAGTAAATTATCTAAAATATAAACAGTTAATTTTATTTAATACAATCTAATATATAGGAGCTAAGTTATTAGAATCAAGTCATAGAATTTTTTAACTAAAAATAAGATTTTAATTTATAATATTATATAATATATAAATTTATTTTTATAGTCAATTAATATCAGTTAAAAAATCTAAAGTTGGATTTTAGAAATAATTAAAACAAAATTTGAAAGTGATAAAAAGTTTTAGACTCTTCTAAAATTCAAAATTTATTAATTTTATTAAATATTTAATATAATTAATTAATTCTTAAAATAATCAAGTATAATATTCTTATTCCTTTAATTTTTCTGTCATCAATGCATATACTAAAGGTAAAATACATGCATTGTATTCTCTATCAACTAATGTATATATAGTATATATTTGTAAAAATAATATAGGTACTATTTTAAAGATATCATCTATTACCTAATATTTAGCATTATTTAAATACTAGAGATTATATTTTGTGTAAAAAATCATGATCTGTTCTTCACCAAATTCTATATCTCTTACAAAAATACTTTATCATTAATAATTCTATATAATTTATATAATTTAATAGAAATGTTAATTTCTGCTAGTGTTTATAGTGGTAGAGGTCTATTCTTGTTCTGGATATATCAAATTTGTTTTTTTTAAAGCTTATTAATTTAGTAAATTGAAGTATGAACTTTTGATTCATATTAATAATAGCATCTCAAATTATTTATATAGATTAATCATATTATAATTATTATTAATGTTACTCTGTTTATTGAATAAGTTAACTATAATTTAAAGTTAAAGAAATATAGCTATGACTTAAATCTAATCAACTTGACATGATATTAATTAAGGAATTCATTTAGTTAACAAGAATAAAATTATAAGTTTTATGTTTATAAAATGTTATTATTATTTAATATTATTATTAAATATATATTGAATACAATGTTAGAATCTGTCCTATTTTCAAAGCATTTTCATGCCCTTTATATAAGAAAAGTATAATTAAAGAAAATTTATAGTAGTAATGATACTATTGACAATAATAATAGAGCTAACAATTATACTAATTATGTTAAATATAAAATAAATAATAATAATAATAAATATAATATAAATACTATAAATAATATATGTATCTTATTTGACAAATATAGCATATTTAGTATATATATCATATTTGACAGGTCTGTCAGTTTCTACCAGTTTAATCATTAAAAACTTATATTTTACAAATGTATGACATTTTGTAAGTTCGATAGTTTCAATAAGAGCTATACCTACTTAATACATTTCTATCACTCATCATTAAAAGAATTTGTTTTATAAATTAATTTTATTTATCTAAAAATCAATCTTCATTATGATTTTAATAATTGTTATTTTAATTCTATTTCTATATATTTTTTCTTTTTCTTCTGCCTGAATAATTTTGTTTCATTTATTATTCCTTGCTTTTTTTCAAATTAACATTATTTTTCAATAATCATTTCATTTTTCTTTAAGATTTCTCTTTTTTTTTTATAAATTCTTATTTTCTTAAATATTTCATTTTCCTTATAATTATATATTAGACCTTTCATTTACTATATTCCTCTGAAATAAGCAATTCCCAAAAATAAGCAACTCCTAAATTAACTTAATATCTGAAAATAAGCAACTTAATTAAATTTTATAAAATACCATATACATATATAAAAAAAAAAATTTTTTTTTTTAATGTTTCAATATACAAATTACGTTAAACATGATCATTGATATCGTCTTCAATATCATCTTCAATATCATCATCAATATTGTCACCACTATCAATGTCATCGCTACTATCGATATTATCTTTATCAAGGATCTCTAAATCAAAATCGAAATCGATCAATATTTCACAAGTTTTAAAGGATTCTATAATAATTTCATCAGGAATCCTTTTCCAAGACTTTTTAACCTATGAATATACATCACTAAATCTAACGCGACAAAGGTTTCCTTTAGCAGTTTCTCTAGCACCACTAATCAGTCATCCAAATATGCATTCTTTATGAAGATTATCCTTGAATAGTTTATTTATTGCAACATCCAGTGGCTGACAAATGCTAGTCAACCTACCAAATGTCCTACTATGCTACGATTGATGTTAAAGTGTTCTGCCACCTTAATATAATCATATTCTTTTGTATAGGTAATGACTTGTATTTTTTGTTTGATAGAATACGAAGTTCGTATACATTTATTAACTTTTATAACCTTTCATTTAATAATTCTTTTTTTGTAGAATGTGGCATTTTAGCTGAATAAAAAAATTTTTTCATGATTTTACGTGATATTAGATGATTAACGTGATCAATGATCATAGGATTTATTGACGAATTAGCAGATTTTAGATTGTATATCGTAAGTTGATCAAAACATACCCAAAAATAAGTAATAATATAGCAAAAATATGTTGCTTATTTTCAGAAGAATACGGTAATTATTTTATGATTATCTTTAATTACTCACTAATAGTTATTGCCATTATTAATTACAATCTGTATTAGTGCTTCTTACAAGCCAGCTTGCAAGTTGAATTAAATCTTCACAAGGTGTGAAAAATAATTATTATATATATAAATCTATGCTAAAAATTTATTTATTACGTACATAATAATTAGATATACTAGGTAATAAATAAATTTTTAATATAGATTTATATATATAATGATTATTTTTTATACCTCATAAAGATTAATTTAGCTTGCAAGCTGGCTTGCGAGAAGCATTAGTCTGTATATTATCATTATAATTAATTATATATCATGTATTATCATCATTATCAAAATTAATTAATTTATTAGTTTATATTATAAAACATTAAACAATTTATATCATTTATCTTATAATTTAATCCTTTCTCAGTTTAGTTCCTTTGTTTTTCTATTCTAATATTTATTATTAAGTTTGGTAATTAAATACTTAAGAGATGTTTAATATATCAAATAGGTACTCATAATCTTGTCTGTTATCTTATTAATATATCAAAGAGGTCTTTCAATATTGATATAATAAGGGTAAGTTATTCATTAAATAAGATAACAAATATTTCTATTATTTTATTATAAGATTTGATATTTTTATATAATTCCAATAATAGACTAATTCTTGTTTAAATTTACTAAGATTTTTTTAAAAGTGCAGTAGTTTCACTATATCTTATTGTCTAAATTTACTAAGATTTTTTTCAGTATCTGAATACTTGAAATTTATATAGTGATTATTAACTGCAATCTGAGAGATTATAAGTAATCTCATATCACACTTAAACCTTAAGACTCTAAAGATCATGATTAGACTCAAGTTTTAACCAGAATCTATCTAATAATACTGGTCCAAGGTCTGTTACCTAGGTCGATCTCTCAAGAGCAAACTTTTAGAAACCCTAGAATCTCAAAATTATTATTAGAATTGGATAGAAGGATTACTTTCTGCTACCGGTACTTTGTCAATTTTTCCTGTGCTTATCAATATTATATCTAAATTACTATTACCTCTACCTAGTATCAGAGTATATTACACATGACCAGAAAGATTTAAATATTATCATCCTATAAAATCTTAAAAAGATAGGTAGCTGTTATACCTATATCATCAATTTTACCTAAGAATTGAATCCAGCCTCTACCCTTAGTAACAGCTCAATTGGATAGTGCTGCAGCAATATAATATAGTCTATTATTACTATAGTCACGTGAGATACTTATATCTCAATGTCTAAATTTACTAAAATAATTTTTATCTTTATTTATATAAAATTAATGTCAATCAATTTAATCAATTTATAAATCTTTTCTTTAATTCTTATTCTTTTTCCTATTCTAATTCTAATTCTTATTTCTTTTCTTATTTTTTATTTTATTCACTAATAATTTCTATTATTATAACATAGTAAAGATTAGCAATTCTAGTTTAGTTGACAACAACTGAACTCCTATTGTAAGTTATACAACAATAGTCATAGATTCAAGTCTTAGATAAGGTATAAAACTAGATAA